CGAGTAAAATATTGTTTGCTGGGATTTTTTTTTTCACAATAGGAAGATGGCACAGCTGAAATACACATAACTCAGTTCACTAAATATCCACCAATTCTGCTGGTTTATTTACAGATGTATTCATGCCCTGACTGCTGTTCAGCCACTTCTTGACATCATATTGTAAAGTTAGATATTTCATGAATGATTACAAAAGATGCCACCTAAATTCTATATACCACAGGAGATTATGTTCTTTTCCCTCAAACAAAATCTTAGTTCTGTAGCTCACTTTCATCTTGAAAAAAACTGATTTTCAGTATCACCTGCAGACTTGCAGCTCAAGTCTGGTAATCTACTTCTTCACTATATAACTGAAGAGGTTATGGGTAAGGTTTTTGTATCTCCATAGATTAAATTGAACAAGCCTTTTTTCTGAGAGGGAAGTCTTGACTAGTGAGTGCCTTCTACATAAGCAGTATTGAGATTCAAGTATCTGAATGTCAGAAAATCCAAGTGATTTTCTTGTTACTTCATTCTTTTGAACATTTATGTAAGAATTTAAACATGATAAGACGTATATGCTTTCTCTTAAGTCACCAATTAGTGAAAAAATCACTGGAAACCACTTGTCATGATTTAGGAATAGCAATTCCCAATCTAGTGTCCTCCTCTACCCCCACAAACGAGACTCTCCCAAACTAGAGCCGCTTGCTTGCTTCCCTTGACCTTTCTCTCCCCCTTCCAGTTCCAGAGATGAAGCTGAGAATTGGAGGCACAAAAAGGTGAAAATTATGGGTTGAGATAAGAACAATTTACTGGAAACAGCAATGAGATAAGATAACAAACAGTAAGGTATCAATGTTAATAACAAAAGGTGTAAGACAAAGAAACTATTTATGTGCAAAAAATGCAACAAAATACCAACAGTCTCTTCCCCACCCCACCTGGAAATAAATCCCTTACTCCCACCCCTGGTAAGTGACTGTGAGATGGAATCAAATAAAATTAGGGTCTGGCCATGCTCCCTTCCTGACTACTGTAAAAAATGAACCCTCTCCTGGCCAAAACTAGGACACCAGTACAGTTCCTTTTTTTCCCAGAAACCAGGAGACTGAGCTTAAAACTAGGTACAAGCCTAGGAATGGGATACTTGGGCAGCTGAAGGGGGTAACACTATGGCCCCTGACCAGTGTGAATAACTATATTCAAAAATATTTTCCTTTTGCTTCTTCTGCATTTATGCTTTGGGTTCATTTGTTTGCAATGTCCTATGTTATAATTGTTTTGCCTCTATAGCTCATGAAGAAATGTCAAATTAGATGTTACTGTAAACTTGCAGAATATTTAACAGCCATGAAAAAGCTATTCTTCACCCTCTTCTGGCTTCTATATGTTAATGTCTCCTTGTCTAGGAGACATTAACCTAATCTAGGTTATTTTAGGGGTTTTTTACCTCTGGACATGCTTTCAAATCTCGTTATGCAAATTCAGTACATGACACATAGGCAAAAAGAATATATTCAAGTTATTAAATGAGAAACCTGAATTATTTTCAAGGAGATAGATACACAGCAATAGAAATTAGAACTGTTAACTGAGAATCAATTTTCCAGCTGTCAGTTTAACAATGATGAAAGTTTTTTCATCAACTGTGTTGGCTACCTGATGTTTCCTTCAACAAGAGGCATTTCTCACATGACAGGTTCTTGGGAGAAGAGATGACAAAACCCATATACGTGGGCAGAATGCCTGTAACAGGAGGTATCTGCTAGCTACAGGCCCCTGGAAGATCCCAGCTCTGACGCCCTGAAAAGGGATCAAGCAGCAAGTGCAGAGTGTCCCATCCTGGATGAGAAGAGGAAATGGGTGAAATATAGTCACAGAGAGCACAAAAAAGCAGAAGGTGCCAGTAGGTTGTAGTTACAATTGGCAGTCATTTTGAACCATTGCTGCTTTTATTAATTATTCAACTTTGATTGCAATTACCAGCCAAAATCAACAATCCTAATAACAGAGCTCAGAGTCGTCCAATGAAGCAGTTTTTCTAAGTGTTCATAACCAGATCATACAACCCTGAAATTTAACAGAAAATCTTATTAACACATTTCCTCACCATCTTCCAGGTCTTTAAAAATACTTTGAACATTTGTTCCACTATTATTCCAGAAACCAAAGCTAAGCAGACCACACTATCATTTTTAGTTCCTCATGTCACTCTTTTTCAAAGGCAGACGCCATGGTTTCCGTTTTCCAGTCTTCTGGAAGCCCATGCATATTCCAAGAATTATCAAAGATAATCATTAATAGCTCTAAGGTTGTTTCTGTAAGGCTTCACATCACAGTGAATTTTCTGAGACACGAAATCTGTTTTGTTCCTGAAAATACCCAAGAGCTAAATACCCTCTAAATGACCTATCTCCTATCTTATTAAATGACCTGTCTCCTATCTTATTATTTTCTTCTAAGGTTAGCTTATTAAATTTCAGAGCACAGCTGACCACTTTACAGAAGACTGACACACGCCAAAAAACACCAAGAAACAAAAACCACTAAGCTTTTCAACCATCTCAACCTCAACTTTTGGCATCTTATTTTATTATTATTTTAATAGTGAATCCAGTTTATTCCCTGGACTTTTTCTCACTTCTAACATACTTGCAGAAAGTTTTCTTGCCAGCCTTTCTGTCCCTTGCTACTTTAACATGGTGATTGAAGAGAATGTAGTAACTCAAGTATTAATTCAAACAGCTGGCATAAGAAGTACATGGTAAATTGTATTACTTTCAAGTGCAATTCTGGTCAGCTGAAGCAAGTAGCTGCACAGCTGCCTGACTTGCAGCAACCACTGACCTTTAGGGTGCATAGTGGAGCTTGTGGTTGTAAATGTTCACAAGTGGAATGAGAGTTGGGTTCATGTCACATGCCAAGAAGAGGCACCATCAAAGAGATCAGAAGAGCAGATAGCACTGTAATGTATGTCACAGCATCATCTCCTTTCTCCTCTTGTTGTGCGCACTGGAGGTCAAATGTAACACTGAAGAGTGGGATAATGATGCATTCAGGGGGCTTACTGCACCTTGTGTGCCATCCCATCCTGTCATACATACCTTCAGCTGCCCTCGCTGCACCTGCTGATGAGTGCAGGCACTGTTAGTCTGTTTCTGCCCAAAGCACCAGGCAGACCCAAAGGTGCATCAACTGGCTCCATTTCTCTGTTTTCTTCTCAGTTCCTCTGTCTGTAAATAATGGAATATCTCTCTCCACCATACCTCCTCCTTTCTCCAAGCAATGAAACTTGAGCTGTGTCAGGGCAGCTAGTCCTTTCTTTGCTCTGATTGAACAATAATGAAAGGATGGGAAACAAAGACTAGCAGCTTTTGAGATTAATCCCCCTTCTGTTCTCAGCTGTCAGACTTACTTATTTTTTCCTTTTTTCAGCTAAATCAGGTCATTATACTACAAATCTTTACTCTGAATGAAAGATTAAACTCAGGTATTTTATTTTCATCAAGGCATAATATTCAGCAAAGAATAATTGGCTATAGTTTCATCTGGATATTTGTATGGGGCCTCCTATCAAATTCCACTAAACCTTTACTGACTCTTTCCATTTTGTTGAATTCCTTAGGATCTTACTGTAGTAGACTCCTGGCAAACAGAATCTTGCACTCAATTATACCTGTCTTCACATCTCAGATGTCATGTTTTCATGAAGCATCTTTAAACAGTCAAGAGAATTAAAAGGTCTTCAGGGTTGCTTTGTAATAAAAACAGTAATAGAAGAGAAAAAAATCCATAAGCTAAGTGTTTTTCCTTGACATAGTATTTTTTTTCTACAATGAAAAGGAAGAAAGAGGAAGGGGGAAAAAAAGGAGGAAATAAGAAAAGATTTTCAGACTACCTTTAACTGCTTCAAAGCCAACAATAAACATATCAGTTAAACCAAAAGATCAAAAAGGCATAAGGTCATCATAACCAAGACTCATTGAGCCAGTCTATTTGGATAGATGTCACTTCCACTTTCTCAGTACAAAGAGTGCTATACTGTATAGAGAGAGCAGAGCTTATGCTGATATAAAATTAAAACCAAAAAACATTCAGTCTATTATGGTGATCTTACGAGAAACAGGCGGGTTTCTCACACATTAGTAAACTCTCTGGTGTGACTGTTGGCTCTACCTTGATGTTTCTTACTTTACTGATTATTTTATTGATAGCGCCTTTTTTAAAAAGATGTTATCACAGAGGGAAAGTATTTTCTCAACCAAGAAAAACTGGCTTTATGCCACATCTACTTTACCTAAAATCGATCCAACAGTAGCTTTGGGATTTAATTTAAACAGGGAAAGACAAAGCATGACAAAAGCACAGGGCATAACAACCCAAGATGGGCCTCCACTGAAGAACAAGAAGCTTCTGCTGTGCAAACAAATCAGAACATTTCTAGACCTATAGTGTTTCTGTTCATATTTTGCTTTGTTTTCTGTTAAAAAAATATTGTCAATTTAGAAGTAAAAGCCTACTATGAAATTCTTCTTTAGAGCTAATAAAAGGCAATGGGATCAACTGATATTTGTAGCCCTTGAAAAGTCAGGCCTCATATTATATAATTCCTAAAAATATTTATTAAACATTAAGGGTTATTTCTCTCAGAGGTACCAGATTTTCATGATATAAAGGTCATGGAAGGAGTTAATATCAGACTAGGTCCTGCACGAGCTATTTTATTGTCTCCTTTGCTCTCTTATGAAGAGGTAGCTTTTCAGTCACATTTTTTGTATATGCAGTTCAAAGGTAAATTTAGTCCTTGTACTCTATGGTATAAGCAGTCCATTGACTTTGGGCAGGAGAATCTTAACGAGAATTTCCAGAAATATTGCTTGGATCAGCAGTGGCACTAACAAGTTTGAAAGGTACAAGGCAAGCAGTGTCCTCTGAATGTGGAAATCTACAACTCACCTCTTCTTCCAGTTACTTATGTCTTGTCTGATTAACACAAGAGTGTTTTTTTCAGTTTTCTCCTTTGGTTGAGCTTTGAGTTTCTCTTTCATGTACCACTGCTGGGAAACAAAATACTCCATCATGAGAAACATACCAAGAAATAAGAAACAGAACAAGTACAATGGCCCAGTGACGGCAATGGGAAAGTGTTGCTCAAAGCATGATGCTGGGCAGGGGCTGGAGATTGAATGATGGCACCTCAAAGTCACTGCTCAGGTAGGACCAGGGAAAGCCTTTTGCAGAGATCACCAGCATCCATGATCCTAAAAAGCCAAACCAGCATCTACATCCAAAGTAATGAGGGCCTTCACCATCAGTGAGTGAGTGAGTGAACCATATGGAGGAATAAGTAAGGAAATAAGGACAGGTTAAAAATATTTCCAAATAGGTTTCATAAAATATTTGGTCTTCTAGAAATTTTGAATTTCACTTCTCTGTATTTATTGCTGAAGAGGCACAAAAGGCAGGCCTCTTGTATATAGCACTAGGGGTAAGGAAGACTCTTTTCTAGGGAAGAGAGGTGGAAAAAGGAAAAGGGGTGAAGAGTTCTTGCTGACTGGCTGCAGCTCAGCTGGTGTACAGATTGGGATAAGAGAGGGTAGTCACCAGGAAGAGCCATCCCAACACCCATTTGTGACATCAAAACCCTGTCCTGTCACGTAAACTGCACAAGAGGACTTACACTGAAGGGAACAAGAGTTCCCACGGATGTACAGAGGATCTGTTATTCAGGTTGGTTCAATGAGTGTTACTCTGCAACGCCAGATGTGCTCAAAATGCAGTGCACATTTGCCCAAATTCTACCTTAATCACATTGCATGCAGCTTCCTGTTGCATGCAAACTGATGGTCTCAAAATGTCAGCATTGTCCACTAGCCCACATCAAACTAATTTTTCCAATTGGGTCAGTTTTAATTTGAGTCTTATCCTGCTGTTATGGGTCTCTGCACCATGCACTCTGAACTTCCGTTCTTGGTGAATGAAGGAGGCACTGCCTCTCTGCCCTTACACTATTAAATGTCAAATTTCAACATCAAAAAAACTGCACAAGACTCAGGCTGTTTCAGAAGGACTGATCTGCAAAGTAACTGGAAGCCAGTTCAGGAGCCAGCGGTGCTGTTTGCAGAGGTGGATTATAACCCTTCTTGTGATAGCTGCTATCGCCATTGCCAAGATCACTGCTGAAAAGCTCCTGTGGCTTGTCAGAGCAAACAACTAACTTTAGTCTATTTAAATATATGGCTCTCAAAACTAAGGCAGTTCAGAGTTGTTTAACATGCAATTCACTAATCACTGTTACAAATGTGGCAAACTCTGAAAGAGGCCTGAGGGAGCAGAGCCTCAACCATTTCCATTGACTCTTGTACCTCAAGTCCTATTTCCAAAGCAATTTAGGCACCCGGGGGTCGATGTGACTTAAACCCAGAGCTCCTTATTCATTCTTGAAAAATGCACTCACCTCTTGTATCACTCTCTTCCCTGAAGCCAAAAGGCGGTCTCAGAAGATGGTCAGTTCTCAGCTCTTTCACTGGTAAGTGCAAGAAAGCATCTGCAGACCAAATGAAAATGAAAAAGTTAAAAGAAAACATACTAATGGATTTATAATTAACATTTATTTTCTTACTAAACAAGTTTCCATCCCTTCATTCGATTGATTTAAACTGAAGGCAAGAAAGTGATAATAAAATTGATCCAGGATTTTTAGTAAGGAGGGGTAATTCCCTGACATCGTCTAAAAGGTTCCTTCAAGTGAAATTAGGTCCATTTCTTATGTTAAGAGTTTCACTGGTATACTATGTATATCAAAAAGGAATTTTTACAAGGGCACATAGTGACAAGACAAGGGGGAATGACTATAAACTGAAAGAGGGTAGATTTAGATTAGATATTAGGAACAAATTCATTACTGTGAGAGAGGTGACACATTGGAACAGGTTGCCCAGAGAAGTTGTGAATGCCCCATCCCTGGAAGTGTTCCAGGCCAGGTTGGATGGGGCCCTGAGCAACCTGGTCTAGTGGGAGATGTCCCGGTCCATGGCAGTGTGGCTGGAAGTATATGATGTTTAAAGTCCCTTTCAACCCAAACTGTTCTATGATTTTATAATACCCTGGGCTGGCTAAAAGCCACCCAAGCTGTCCTGAACCTGAATAAGCACTCCTTGGTTAGAGCAAGAGCAGGTTGGCCTGTTTTCAACCAATAGGCATGTCTAGGGACAGTCCTGATATGCTGCAATTCAATTAGTGTTTCAAATGTACCCTGGAGAGCAGTAGATTGCAGTGATGTTAACAAACTGCCCGGCAAGATCTGAAGTCCTCCACACACTGGTGGGATTTATGGACCTAACAAACTTACTTGCCTTTGAACATCTCAGACAGGCAGGCAGGCAAACACTATGCCACTTTTGGAAATGTGGAATCAAATCAAAACACTACTAAAAACTTCATAGAAGTCACTAAGGAAATCCTTCTTCTGTTTGTTATTAATGGTTACAAGATAACTTTTACTTATAGTGCCCTGGGGACTTATTCAGTAGGATGTAGTGACACTGATGAGAAGGATTATTTATTGTTTATACAGTTGCTTACAGATGAAGGCACTGCATAAATATTCTGGAAACTATCATTCTGTGAAAAAGCTCTTGATAATGCATCAAAATACTTCCTGCATCAAAGTTATTCTGGACTCTCTCTTCGCATCACAAGCTATATTTGCAATGCTCAGAAGGTTTGATTGTATTCTTTATCTCACATTAGCTGATATGCAGTCAATGTAAGAAAGTCATAGTTTGTATCTGGTATTCATACAGTACCAACAATCTGCAAGGCATATTGACATCTAGAAGATTTAAAAAAAAAACAACAAAGAAGTTGTGGGCTTGTTTGACAGAATTTAAAAAAAAAAAAAAAGGTTTAAAAAACTGCATTAATGGGCCATGGAACTTGCATTCAGAAAGGATAAAATAGCATAAGCAACAAAAACCTTGCCATTTTGTGTAAACACGTTAAAATATACTGCATAATTTCTAGGTTGTGTATGAGCTCAGAAATATTTTAAGTAATAAAAGATACATTTCTGTCCATAATCTACAAAACAAACATAAAAAGAAACTTTATGTACCCAAAAGGCAGGTCAGATGGCATAGAACACAGTGCAAAACCTCTGGTTATCATCTTCAGCTCTTTTACTCTTTCACTGGTACACCAAGTAAATATATTGGTCACAGGATAGTTTCCATGACTTCCTGCTCTCAGTAAGTAGCTCCTCACTTTACACTAAGACCATCAACAGTAGCAATTTAGTGATCAGTTAGATGTATGAACTGGTCATATGACTTTTAATAGAGCAATTCTCACCAGTAACCACTCACATTGGAAGGACCTGCTCTTTGCCCTGTGAGCTCTTTTGTCTTGTGTTCTGTGTGTTAGGCTTCTATGAAAATTTGGCTTATTCAATTTTTTTATGTCTACTGAGCATAAATTTTTATATATTTGAAGCCTGTTACACCAAGCACAACTGAAATTGTTCTCCATCATGCTGCTTTCTGCTCTAAGCTCCAGGTCCCCGGGTCTAACTTTTCCTATAGGAAATGTGCAGTCCAAACTAGATTTCAATTAATCAATAACATCTAATCGATAGAGCAGGAAAGACATCTCTAGAAGCTCATTTTAAACACCTACCACAGGGTGAAATAAATCTGTGTCAGTAGGTACCCATCCCTCTATGCCCATTACAGAGTCGGCTGCTTAGACCAAGCACCTGACTTCTAGTATCTTAACATCGGGGAAACTGAGTGCCACCATCACTGTGGTGGCTCAACTGAACTAAGCTACAGTAGAGCTATATTTAGTCCATAACTAATTACAGAACACTATTTTGGAGACTAAAAGTTTGGGAAACTTAAATGCAGGCTTTCTGAAGCCAGTAAACCTTTTTTTTTTTTTTTAATGGGAGAGAAATAATATCTTTATCTTGTGGGAGACGTGAACAGAACAAAGGGCCTTCTTTGTTTTTCCTGCAGAAAGCAATCCTCAGTGATATAACTCTTCAAAAGTTTCTGTATGCTGAAAAAGATTTTCTGTTAAACTCTTCTGGGCAAATTCATCTAGGGTGTATTAAGACAAATCTAGTTACACTGATCTATTACTTCTGTTTGAGCACTCAGTTTTCTTCAATTTAAAAACAACATAAGGGAATAGGAAAATGTTTAAGCAATGAGACATGACATACTATACCATGCTGTACTGTTGATTAATGTGTATCCCAGGTGGATGAGAAGTAAGACAAGTGCCTGCACCATATGTGGCGAGTGCATTAATCAATATTAACACGTAATAACAGGTACAGAGAGAAGGTACTAAAGAAGAGCTGTTTCTAGAGTCCAATCCTGGTGTGATGACAATGGGGGACTGAATCTTTTTGACACAAGAAGTCAGCCCGACCTCTGAGGCTATGACCTTAGAAAAGCACGCGCTTTTGACAAACACCATGCCACAGAATGTTGCAGATGCTAAAAGCTTACTTGGATTCAAGGAGAGGTAGGGCAAGTTCACAGATCAGAAATATTTTCAGGCTATAAATTCAAAGAAACATCTCCAGGCCAAGAAGTCTCTGAGCTGCAAATTATTGGAAGCAGGGTGAATGCCTAGGGAAGTACCACATATCGTGCATCCTGTTTTTATACTCTTTCTTACACACTTCCTTTTGATGGCTATCAGGGACAGGACAGAGAGCTAGACAGCCATAAGGTACGACCCCATTCAGTGCTCTTATAGTCTAAGTTTTTATGTCCTAAATTTACAATGTACAACTAGTCCCCACTAACTCTGTGCAAGTTGTTTAACACTCAGAGTGAAACAGTACATGCAGCTATATGCACATCTCCACTGAGCAACTGAACAGCATCAAGACTTTTAGGTAACTGCCTCACTGCAAACACTGGCAGGAATTTGGCACAATCTTCCACCACAGAGACCTGATACCACCAAGCGCCCACTACCAGTGATGTAGCAGCTCCCTTTTCAAAGCTCTGATGAGGCACAGAGCCTTGAGAGGTACTATCTGCCTGAAGGTGGAAAACCAGTCAAGAGACATAAGTCAGTGTAGTATGAGGCACTGCAGAACCCCACAGCACCATTGCTTCAGACACAGGAGAAGAGTGGGATCCCCGCTTGGAATGAGGTAGTAGCTCTTGCTCTCCATTGAGTTCAGAAACAGTTCCATTTTCTACCCTGCCAGGCAGAAAGCTTATAACTCAAATGCCATGCTATGGAAACCAAAGAAATAACAACACCACATTGCTTATTGAAGCATATTAAAGTGCCCCACAGCAGTTTCTTTATGACCGTTAAACATTTACCCAAGATACTGAAATAAATGTCTTTTTTATTTATGGCATCCTCTCTGGACTCTCTGTTACTTCCAGCCCTTCCTACCAGCACAGGAACCAGAGTGGTTCAGTAGCCCAATAGCCAAACAATGCTGCCAATTGCCTATTTTCAAACTAAACTAAGCTTCTCTAATGCTTCTAATTTAATATATTAATGTACACAACAAAAGCAAATATTTTGGTTTGGCTTTTGTCTGATTCATGTGGTCTTGGGCTTCAAAATTCTTTTTGAGAGGCCAAGGTGGCTTTAAAGTTACAATTTCAGTGGATAAGCTAACAAACAGATTTGAATGCTGATCATTTTCGAGCACCATATAATTTTGAATTTAAAGAAACTTCTATTTTAAAAGCGAAGAACTCTAAGAACTGGATATGCCAGTAAAACATCTCAGCTCTGTTTCATCCTTTGTCTCCATTTTAGGCAACAATAGGGAGCATCTGTAACTTACATCAAGCTATTAGGATCTGTCACTGTGTTGATCAATAAAGCCCTCACGACTTTACTCTACACTTCAGTCCCAAGCCTTAACTACTCGTCAGACAGCCTGTAATTTCAGAGAGGGAAAAGAGCGCCTGCAGGTGTTGAATTAATGCACCATGAAAGCAGAACTCTTCTGTGTTGCAATGGAGCTAAAATCAGGCTTCTCTGGTATTGCTGACAGTATTCGGCTCCCAGTATAGTTCTAACTTTGGATACATAGGCTACCTAGTAATTTTGTCACATCTTGAAAATAGAGCGCGGGGAAAAAATCCATTTAGACTCTTACAGCCATAGGACATATTTACCATTTGCTAACAGACTGTTGTGTTGTGAATGGAGCCTGCTTCTCCAGTCACACAACACAGAAAGTTTCTTTTGCTTCACTAAAACTCTCAGAAAGGAACTCAATGACAAAAAAGGCACTGATTTCTAAGAAAAATAAGCAAAATTGTGATGTTAACAAAAAAACATCCTCAATAAGAGTCAAACTTTGAAAAAAATTTATCTTGAAAGAAAAAAGTTTTAATTACTTTTTTTTTAATTTTAAAATCAGAACTGAAACACTGTACTGAGTAATTTCAGTGCCACTGATCCCATTGACTTTGGACAAGAAAACTGACATAGGCAGTGAAGAAAAGCCATCACCAAGGCAGCTGCTTTTTAAGCAGACATCTGCTAAGC